ATTTAAAAACAAACTGAAATATTTTTCTTCTGGGTGGGGAGTAAACCTAAAAAACTAAAATAATGTAGTTGCATAAGTGTGCACACCCTCTTCTAACTGGGGATGTATCTATGTTCAGAATTAAGCAATCACATTCAAAATCATGTTAAATAGGAGTCAGTACACACCTGCCATCATTAAAATGCCTTTGATTAACCCCAAATAAATTCAGCTGTTCTAGTAGGACTTTCCTGACATTTTCTTAGTCACATCCTACAGCAAAAGCCATGGTCCGCAGAGAGCTTCCACTGCATCAGAGGGATCTCATTGTTAAAAGGTATCAGTCAGGAGAAGGGTACAAAAGAATTACCAAGGCATTAGATATATCATGGAATACAATGAAGACGGTCATCATCAAGTGGAGAAAATATGGCACAACAGTGACATTACCAAGAACTGGACGTCCCTCCAAAATTGATGAAAAGAGGAGAAGAAAACTGGTCTGGGAGGCTTCACAGAAGCCTACAACAACATTAAAGGAGCTGCAGAAGAATCTGACCAAGTACTGGCTGTGTGGAACGTGACAACAATCTCCCGTATTCTTCATGTGTCTGGGCTGTGGGGTAGAGGGGCAAGACTGAAGCCTTTTCTTATGAAGTAAAACATCCAAGCCGGGTAGATTTTGCAAAAACACATCTGAAGTCTCCCAAAATCATGTGGGAAAATGTGTTATCGTCTGATGAAACCAAGATTGACCTTTTTGACTATACAGTAATTTCAAAAGATATGTTTGATTTTAAAACAACACTGCACATCACCAAAGAACACCATACCCACAGTGAAGCATGGTGGTGGCAGTATCATGCTTTGGGGCTGTTTTTTCTTCAGCTAGAACTGGGGCCTTTGTCAAGGTAGAGGGAATTATTAACAGTTCCAAATACCAGTCAATATTGGCACACAACCTTCAGGCTTCTAGAAAGCTGAACATGAAGAGGAACTTCAGCATGACAACGACCCAAAAAGCATACGTCCAAATCAACAAAGGAATGGCTTCACCAGAAGAAGATTAAAGTTTTGGAATGGCCCAGCCAGAGCCCAGACCTGAATCTGATCGAAAATCTGTGGGGTGATCTGAAGAGGGCTGTGCACAGGAAATACACTCTCAATCTGACAGATTTGGAGTGGTTTGGAAGGGAGAGTGGGCAAATATTGCCAAGCCAAGATGTGCCATGCTGATAGACTCATACCCAAAAAGACTGAGTGCTGGAATCAAATCAAAAGGTGCTTCAACAAAGGATTAGTTTAAGGGTGTGCACACTTATGCAACCATATTATTTTAATTTTTTATTTTTACTTCCCTCCACCTAAAATATTTCAGTTTGTTTAACTGAGTTGTACAGTTTATAGGTCACATTAAAGGTGGAAAAAGTTCCGAAATTATTTATCTTTGTCTCATTTTTTTACATCACAGAAACCTGACTTTTAACGGGGTGTGTAGACTTTTTATATCCACTGTAGGTAGGAAAGTATATCATATTTACTTGTTTTTAAACATTTTTTTAAACATTTCTTCAGTTACTTCCTGGTTTCCAAGCCTAGGCAAATGATGTCATACATCCCTGGAAGTGCTTTCTTAGATAAGCACACCCACCTGCATGCCTGCGCTAAGGGCAGTTGAATTCCAGGAAGTAAATGCTACATGAATCATCTTCTCTCACTCAAGATGGCCACAGCTAGGGGGTTTTCGAAGTGATTCTCAGCAAAATAAAGCACAGAGACATAGATGGATGGATGAGTTGGCTTTGAATATTAAAAATGAATTAAATAGCATGTTGGGTTTGTGGTTCTCAGATACAGTGTAGTTCCTCTTTAATCACATGATCAAACCAAGTGTTACCTTTCCATATCACTGCAGGCTCATATGGAAAGATAACGTTTAACATTTAAACTGGTTTGCAGTGTTGAGGAATTACATGTGTTGAATGGGGCCACAAAGGGCAACATGTGTAATGTATAGGAATATACCTATAGAAACCAAAGAATTTCATTTAGCAATACAGTGTCTTGAAAAAGTATTCATACCCCTTTTCCACATTTTGTCATGTTACAACCAAAAATGTAAATGTATTTTATTTGGATTTTATGCGATAGACCAACACAAAGTGGTGCATAATTGTGAAGTGGAAGGAAAATGATAAATGGTTTTCAAAATTTTTTTACAGCTGCAAGTCTTCTTGCCAGCTTTGCACATCTAGAGAGGGACATTTTCTGCCCATTCTTCTTTGCAGAATAGCTCAAGCTCTGTCAGATTGGATGGTGAGCACTTTTCATGTCTTGCCACATATTCTCAATTGGCTTTAGATCTGGACTTTGCCTGGGCCATTCTAACACATGAATATGCTTTGATATAAACCATTACATTGTAGCTCTGGCTGTATGTTTAGGGTCGTTGTCCTGTTGGAAGGTGTACCTCCATCCAAGTCTCAAGTCTTTTGCAGACTCTAACAGGTTTTCTTCTAAGATTGCCCTGTATTTGACTCCATCCATCTTCCCATCAAACTCCGACCAGCTTCCCTGTTGCTCCTGAAGAAGGGCATTCCCACAACATGATACTGCCACCACCATGTTTCACAGTTGGGATGGGTCAGGGTGTTCAGGGTGATGTGCAGTGTTCGTTTTCCACCACACATGGCATTTTGCTTTTAGGTCAACAAGTTCAATTTTGGTCTCATCTGACCAGAGCACCTTCTTCCACATGTTTGCTGTGTCCCCCACATGACTTGTTGCAAACTGCAAATGGGACTTCTTATGGCTTTCTTCCAACAATGGCTTTTTCCTTGCCACTTTTCCATAAAGGCCAGATTTGTGGAGTGCACAACTAATAGTTGTCCTGTGGACAGATTCTCCCACCTGAGCTGTGAATCTCTGCAGCTCCTCCAGACTTACCATGGTCCTCTTGGCTGCTTCTCTGATTAATGCTCTCCTTGCCCGGCCTGTCAGTTTAGGTGGACGGCCATGTCTTGGTAGGTTTGCAGTTGTGCCATACTCTTTCCATTTTCGGATTATGGAATGAACAGTGCTCTGTGAGATGTTCAAAGCTTGGGATATATTTTTTTTATAACCTAACCCTGCTTTAAACATATTTATTTTAGGTACTTATATAGCGCCATCGATTTACACATATATAGTACATTCACATCAGTCCCTAACCCTCAAGGAGCGTAGAATCTAAGGTCCCTAACTCACATTCATACATACACATACTAAGGCCAATTTAGACAGGAGCCAATTCACCTACCAGCATGTCTTTTGGAGGGTGGGAGGAAACAGAGTACCTGGAGGAAACCCATGCAAGCACAGGGAGAACATGCAAACTCCAGGCAGGTGGTGCCGTGGTTGGGATTTGAACCAACGAACCTAGTACTGCCAGGCGGAAGTGCTAAACATTTAGCCACTGTACTCTCCACAACGTTATCCCTGACCTGTTTGGTTTGTTCCTTGGCCTTCATGATGCTGTTTGTTCACTAATATTCTTTTACAAACCTCTGAGGGCTTAACAGAACAGCTGTATTTATACTGAGATTAAATTACACACAGGAGGACTTCTGAAGGCAATCAGTTCCACTAGATTTTATTTAGGGGTATCCGAGTAAAGGGGGCTGAATACAAATGCCACACTTTTCAGATATTTATTTGTAAAAAATTTTGAAAACCATTTATCATTTTCCTTCCACTTCACAATTATGTGCCACTTTGTGTTGGTCTATCACATAAAATCCCAATAAAATAAATTTACGTTTTTGGTTGTAACATGACAAAATGTGGAAAATTCAAGGGGTATGAATACTTTTTCAAGGCACTGTTCATCTGATAATAGGCAAAGAGACCAGACTAGTTCAGAACACTATGGTGAAGGGGACCCTTGTCGTATGCAGTTTCACTATAACCCATTAGATGGCGCTGCAAACATCAGAATGAAGATTTGAACAGTAAGATTGGTAAATGGAGGTTTGGGTACTCTGGTTATTTCCTACCTGCTGAGTCCTATTGTTGAGATCTTTCTAGGCATTCAGCCAGGGCTCTCTTATTACTGGAGGGTTCAGGGCCATCCGTGTGATCTGTAGTCTTCTTGGGCTCATATAACCAGGGTAATGGAGGTAAGGTAGATTTCACCTCTTAACTGTCATTTGTTTTCATGTCTTAGCCGGTTGACTTTACTATTCCACTGAATGGTAGAATTGGTGGGGCTTTCCTAAGAATAAAATTGCACTGGCTCACGGAACATCTGCATGATCTCCAAATCAGACCAGTGAATATTACCATAAATAATTCCAAGTCCAAAATCTTGATAAGGAGTTGATATTAGCTGGGATCTATTACCTGTTATTGGCTCACATCTCTGAAAGGGGGTACCCCAGACAAAACTTTTTTTTTAATAGTCTTGGATAGAGTGTGGACATATTAAACCTCTGTCAGGTTCATGTCCCCATGAATAACATTTTCCCTTCCTGTCCTGTGGACACAATAGGAAGTGAGTGACATCTCCATAAAGTGAGGGGAAATCCCACCTCTGACAGCTATCACCTAAACCAGGGGTCTCCAAACTTTGTAAACAAAGGGCCAGTTTACTGTCCTTCAGACTCTATGGGGGCCTGAATGGCCAGTGGGGGTAGAAAATGCCCCACTATCAGTGGAAGTAAACAGTGCCCCTTCATTTGTTTAGGTGGGTGGAATAGCACCCCGTCATTGGTGTCTGTAGGAGAAATGGCGCTCCATCATTGATGTCAGTGGGAGGAATGGTGCCCCATCATTGATGTCTGTGGGAAGAATGGAGTCCCATCAATGGTGTCAGTGGGAGGAATAGAACCCCATCATTGGTGTCTGTGGGAGGTATGGAGCCCATCATTGGTGTCCGTGGGAGGAATAGCACCCCGTCATTGGTGTCTTTGGGAGGAATTGTGCTCCATCATTGGTGTTAGTGGGAGGAATGATGCCCCATCTTTGTATCAGTGGGAGGGCTGGTGCCCCATCTTTGGTGTCAGTGGGAGGAATAGTGCCCCATCATTGGTGTCTGTGGGTGGAATGGAGCCCCATCATTGGTGTCAGTGGGAGGAATGGAGCCCCATCATTGGTGTCTGTGGGTGGAATGGAGCCCCATCATTGGTGTCAGTGGGAGGAATGGAGCCCCATCATTGGTGTCAGTGGGAGGAATGGAGCCCCATCATTGGTTTCAGTGGGTGAAATAGTGCCCCATCATTGCTGTCTGTGGTGGAATGGAGCCCCATCATTGGTGTCTGTGGGTGGAATGGAGCCCCATCATTGGTGTCAGTGTGAGGTGAGTAATATTACCCCATGATTGTTGTCTGGGGGAGGAATGGTACCCCATGATTGGTGTCTGTAGGAAGAATAGTGCCCCATCATTGGTGTCAGTGGGAGGAATAGCAGCCCATCATTGGTATCAGTGGGAGGAAAATAGTGCCCCATCATTGGTGTCAGTGGGAGGAATAGCAGCCCATCATTGGTGTCAGTTGTGGATGGAATAGTGTCCCAAGGGCCAGACAGAGGTAGCCAAAGGGCCACATCTTGCCCCCAGGGCCGCAGTTTGGAGACCACTGACCTAAACAATTGTCCTCATTGGTAGATTTCTTCCCTAGTCCCTTTTAGTAGGAACTGTAACATTTTAGAGCTCCTGTCTACACTTCAATATTTCACTGAACAGTATAATGATTGGATAAAGTTGGGAAACCTAAAAAGAACTTTTGATCAATGGACTTTAAAGGTATCCAAGAATTACAACTAAGACATGGGTGCTCAACCCGTGGCCCTCCAGCTGTGCTGGAACTACAATTCCCATGAGGCATTGCAAGCCAAAGACAGTTACTGACTCCCAAAGGCAGCGTCATGATGGGACTTGTAGTTCCACAACAGCTGGAGGGCCACAGGTTTAGCACCCATGAACTAAGGCATGCTGCGGTTTCCTCGCAGTGTGGGTGCAGCGCAGTGTATGCGTGGTTTTTGCACTTTTCCATAGACTTCCATTAGATCAGGAGGTGAAACCGCAGCAGATCAGTGTGAAAGGGGCCTGGGACATGTTAACATTTCTTCTATTCACATATTACACATAAAAGTACAACTTGAAAATGGTCCGATGTGTCAGAACATGTTGGGAAACCATTGCTCCAAATCTGGTTTTCATGGTGTGAGCTGTGTTGTCACCACAGACAAGTCTGTGCCCGGCTAAGGCAAGCCACGTTTTCATTAGCAGGAACTTCTGAAGAGCTCACCGGTGGCCTTTCATGCTGCAGATTGTGACAGAATGCACTGTTCCAGTAAATAGCCTTCCTAGATTTACTAAGACTTCCACTTTGACTCGGAGGCTGCATTCACACCAAGTTTTTGGAAGTTTTTTCTGGGTGTTTTGTCATGTGTTTGTATGTGCGTCTTTGTACAGCAACATTTTGGAGCTTTGGTACTTTTGTACCATCCAATAGGGAAAACTATCATCTGTTACATCATTTGTTGCTATGTGTTTCTGCTTATATTTTCTGTAGCACTATCCCTCCCACTGACATCGACATTGGGTCACTACTCCTCCCACTGACACAGATGATGGGGCACTATCCCTCCCACTGACACCGACATTGGGGCACTACTCCTCCCACTGACACCAATGATGGGGCACTATTCCTCCACTGACACCAACATTGGGGCACTATCTCTCCCACTGACACTGATGATGGGGCACTATCCCTCCCACTGACACCAACATTGGGACACTATTCCTCCCACTATTCCTCCCACTGATACCAATGATGTACTACTATTCCTCCCACTGATACAAATGATGTACCACTATTCCACTGACACGAATGTTGGGGCATTATTCCTCCCACTGACACCAATGATGGGGCACTATTCCTCCCACTGATACCAATGATGTACCACTATTCCTCCCACTGACACCAATGATGGGGCACTATTCCTCCCACTGACACCAATGTTGGGGCACTATTCCTCCCACTGACACCAATGATGGGGCACTATACTTCCCACTGATACCAATGATGTACCATTATTCCTCCCACTGACACCAATGATGGGGCACTATTCCTCCCACTGATACCAATGATGTACCACTATTCTTCCCACTGACGCCAATAATGGAGCATTATTCCTCCCATTGACACCAACAATAGGCACTATTCCTCCCACTGACACCAATGATGGGGCACTATTCCTGATACCACTGACACCAATGATGGGGCACTATTCCTCCCACTGACATCAATAATGGGGCACTATTCCTCCCACTGATATCAACAATAAAGCACTATTCCTTCTATTGACACCTACAATGAGGTACTATTCCTCTCACTGATACCAATGATGTACCACTTTTCCTCCCACTGACACCAACAATAGGCACTGTTCCTCCCATTGACACCAACCATGGGGCAGTATTCCTGATTGCACTGACACCAGTGATGGGGCATTATTCCTCCCATTAACACCAACAATCGGACACTATTCCTCTCACTGATACCAACGACGTAGCACTATTCCTCCCATTGACACCAACAATAATCACTATTCCTCCCACTGATACCAATGATGTACCACTTTTCCTCCCACTGACACCAACAATAGGCACTATTCCTCCCATTGACACCAACCATGGGGCAGTATTCCTGATTGCACTGACACCAATAATGGGGCATTATTCCTCCCATTAACAGCAACAATCGGGCACTATTCCTCTCACTGATACCAACGACGTAGCACTATTCCTCCCATGGACACCAACAATAGGCACTATTCCTCCCACTGATACCAACGACGTACCACTATTCCTCCCTTTGACATCAACTATAGGCACTATTTCATCCCATTGACATCAGTGATGGGGCACTATTCCTGATAGCACTGACACCAATGATTGGGAACAATTCCTCCCATTGACATCAATGATGGGGCACTATTCCTGATAGCACTGACACCAACAATGGCACTATTTCTCCCATTGACACCAAACATGGGGCACTATTACTGATATCTCTGACATCAACGATGGGGCATTATTCCTCCCAATGACATCAATGATGGGGCACTATTCCTTTCACTGACAGCAACAATGGGGCACGTTATCTCCCACTGACACCGACAATAGACACTATTTCTCCCATTGACACCAACCATGGGGCACTATTCCTCTCACTGACACCAACGATGGGGCACGTTTTCTCCCACTGACAAAAACAATGGGGCACTATTCCTCCCACTGACACCAACAACAGGGCAAGGTTTACTCCCACTGAAGCGAGTACATTGTCTGCCCTAAAATGTGAAGAAGAATAAACTGTCCCTTTATTTATTACTGTCCTCTCCACAGGTTGACCATGTTGCTGTCCAAGGTTGGGTATGTTGTTCCTCCCTAGACAGAGCAGAGAAATGAGTGTACTCACCTTAATACAAATGGTGTTGTACTCACCTTAAGACAGGACATTTGTTACTAGCCAGCTAACCAGGTGAAAAAAAAGCTGTGAAAAGAAAACAAATGCAGCCACCACATGTAAGGACTGGTAAGTTGCATTATATGAATTTTTTGTTTTTTGTATTTAGATACACTTTAAGAATTAATGCAACTCCAATGACAAAAAAGTCAAGAAGTGGGTTGCTTGAAAAACCCGGTTAAACCGTTCCAGCAACTGGCATTCCTAAAGTCAGCGTCAGTATTCTCAGGCCTTCTAGGGAGCGGCTGATTGCAGGTAAAGTGAATGCAAAGGAAAGGACGGGAAGAGAGACAGGGTGTTGGAAAGATGTCTTCCTTGGCATTCCTAACACCCACATCCCTTCCCTTCCTGCAGGCCAGTAGATAGCAGATGATCACACTGATAGACTGCGCACTGGTTTGATGGTAATGTGGTTCTCATTCATGGCTTCATTTTAAAAGCATTTTATTGGTGTTCTCCACCAGGGGGACTTGGCAGACTGCCATTTGCTAACTATTGGTGCTGTTATTGTAATTAAAAAAAAATTATATGTAAAAATGTTATACACATGGAAAATGTTTTTGTTATTAGTACAACATTATGATCATAATTATTTAAAAGATAAATGGGTCATTTCCTGTCAATACTACTGGGGTGGGTGTGGTGGGGTCAGGCACACAATCACCTCTCTGCTCTCTTCATTAGAACCCCACTCCCTCTGTGCACCTCTCTGCTCTCTTCATTAGAACGCCACTCCCTCTGTGCACCTCTCTGCTCTTTTCATTAAAACGCCACTCCCTCGGTGCACCTCTCTGCTCTCTTCATTAGAACCCAACTCTCTTGGTGCACCCCTCTGCTCTCTTCATTAGAGTCCCACTCCCTTGGTGCACCTCTCTGCTCTCTTCATTAGAACCCCACGCCCTTGGTGCACCCCTCTGCTCTCTTCATTAGAACACCACTCCCTTGGTGCAACCCTCTGCTCTCATTAGAACCCCACTCCCTTGGTGCACCCCTCTGCTCTCTACATTAGAGTCCTTCCCTTGGTGCTCCTCTCTGCTTTCTTCATTGGAACGCCACTCCCTCGGTGCACCTCTCTGCTCTCTTCATTAGAACCCCACTTCCTCGGTGCACCTCTCTGCTCTTTTCATTAGAACCCCACTCCCTCGGTGCATCTCTCTGCTCTCTTCATTAGAACCCCACTCCCTCGGTGCACCTCTCTGCTCTCTTCATTAAAACCCCACTCCCTCTGTGCATCTCTCTGCTCTCTTCATTAGAACCCCACTCCCTCGGAGCACCTCTCTGCTCTCTTCATTAAAACCCCACTCTTTCGGTGCATCTCTCTGCTCTCTTCAGTAGAACCCCACTCCCTCGGTGCATCTCTCTGCTCTCTTCATTAGAACCCCACTCCCTCGGTGCACCCTCTCTGCTCTCTTCATTAAAACCCCACTCAAAACCCCTCGGTGCATCTCTCTGCTCTCTTCATTAGAACCCCACTTCCTCGGTGCACCTCTCTGCTCTCTTCATTAAAACCCCACTCCCTCTGTGCACCTCTCTGCTCTCTTCATTAAAACCCCACTCCCTCTGTGCATCTCTCTGCTCTCTTCATTAGAACCCCACTCCCTCGGAGCACCTCTCTGCTCTCTTCATTAAAACCCCACTCTTTCGGTGCATCTCTCTGCTCTCTTCAGTAGAACCCCACTCCCTCGGTGCATCTCTCTGCTCTCTTCATTAGAACCCCACTCCCTCGGTGCACCTCTCTGCTCTCTTCATTAAAACCCCACTCCCTCGGTGCATCTCTCTGCTCTCTTCATTAGAACCCCACTTCCTCGGTGCACCTCTCTGCTCTCTTCATTAAAACCCCACTCCCTCTGTGCACCTCTCTGCTCTCTTCATTAGAACCCCACTCCCTCGGTGCACCTCTCTGCTCTTTTCATTAGAACCCCACTCCCTTGGTGCACGTCTGCTTTGTTCATTAGAATCCCACTCCCTCCAGCGCTGCTCATGCAATGCCCCCTCCTTTTCCGGCTCTATGATGCAAGACAGTTTGCTGCCAACTGCACTGTTCCACTCCACTCTACTGATTTTGGCTTCACTTAGGCTTTAATAATGGCAGCCTCCAAATTTTCTTGGAACATTTTTCTTACAAATGAAATATATACACCAACCAGCCATAACTCTAT